GGATAGACAGCATCCCTAAATGTGATGGACACTTTGCAGTGACATAGAATACAAACTCTCGTGCTTAAAAAATACTGGTGCTGCTCAAATCAACTAATGCCATTCCTGATTGTTAAACCTGAAGAACGTTAAGGCTTGAAGAATCAGGAGCAGCAGGTAATCCACAGTTCAGCTCTACTAGGCTTGGGAACATGGGGTTTGCTGTTGTTGCTGGTGTGTGTGTGTGTGTGTGTGTGTGTGTACGCTCATGTGGGTGCACCTGTGTGCATGCATGTGTGTATGTGCAGGTACATGCTCAAGTGAGTGCACCTGTGTGCATGCATGTGTGTATGTGTAGGTACATGCTCATGTGAGTGCACCTGTGTGTGTACATGTGCACATGTGTGTGGAGGCCAGAGGTCACCCTTGGATGTCATTCCTCTGGTTCCACAAGCACGTTACCAACTGAGCCACCAACTGAGCCACCTCCCCAGCCGGAGAACTTGTGTTTATACTTTTCTTTATAACATGTGGCTCTGAGGTCCCCACTCGCTTTACTTTTTCTCTGGGAAATGGGGATGCAGAAACCTTTCCCCGTCTTTTCTTCTGTCACCCTTCACCTCTTCCGCCTTGTCCACTTTCTCAGCCTCCGATCTCCAAACACACGCCTGCACCCCTATCTTTCTGTATCTTGTCCCAGGCTGTTTGGGTTTCAAAGAAATACTGTGTGTGCAAAGCAAACAGAACGGCAGAGTATCCACAATGCTTATTAAGAAGGAATGGACTTATATTTTCTGAAGAGCTGATTCTGGGATGGGAAAACTCAACACTCACGAAGTTAAGATGCACCTCTCAGAGCTTTCAAAGTAAGTCAGAGCTGCGAAGGATCCGAATAATCAGACTCCCTTAACAGAAGATGGTATGTCATTCGTGAGGACGAGGAAGGAGTCCTGGAGCGCAAATCCCAGGAGACCACCAGGCAACTTTATCAGGGTCTGAGAGCTAAGTCGGCCCTTCCCTGTGCACCCTGAAAGGGGAAGGAGGGGAAGGAAGTGATGTCAGGGTCCGGACAACGCCTAAGGGCCCCCTGGGAGTGGTCCCTGCCCCTTGTGGTGGCTTGTCTAGCTAGGCCTCCCCTCCAAGCAGCTAACAATAGGCAGACTCCCGCCTGTGTGTGGGCTGAGGCGCAGAGGCGATTAGTGAGGAGGAGGAGAAGTGAGCCAGGATCAGCGGAAAGGAGAGAATCCACCCAGAAAGGGCGGCTGGGCTTCCCCTTCCACAAGGTTCGGATTAACCGATTAACCGGGAGGCGAGCGCCACCCGCTTCCAGGAGAGCCCAGGCCCAAGCCCCGCACGAAGCGCTCACAGGAAAGGAGTCCAGCAGAGGCTTGGAGCGCGGTGAAGGGAAGGGGCGGACGAATGTTTTCGGATTAAAAAGGCTCAAGAGGAGACTAGGAGAGGCGCCGGGCCGAGGTCAGACGGCACACAGGGTCGCCATCACAGAGATGCTGGGAGAGGAAGAGGAAGAAGGAAAAGCACATTCTCGTTTTAAGTTCCTTTTTTTTTCTTTCCTCAAAAAAAAGGCATCTGAGAGACAGAGCTGAGGATTATTTTCTTCTATTTTGGGAGACGGTGCTGGTGTCGTTGGACTCTCACCAGCGCCGCAGTGAAGAGGCGAGCAGCCCAGATCCAGCCTGGATTTCGGAAGCTCCGAGAAGAGGGGCCTTCTAGTGGACAGAGCCGTGTGCACCCGCGGGCCAAATGGCCGAGACATAGCTGACGCTGTCCATTTGGGGCCGTCCCCTTCAGCTCTCTCCGATCTCAGGGGGAAGGAGAAAACGAAGAAAAAAATTCCCCTTCCCAGTGAGCGGTCTGGACTCAATGCCAACCTGAGACAGCTGCTGATGTTAACAACAACATCAAGGACCTACTGTCCCTTCCTGCCCCTCCCCCTCCTCCTCCACAGAAAGGGCTGTGAAAAGACCAAGAGTTGGTGGGCGGCCAACAAGAACTAAAGAACTTGCAGCTGGCGAAACCACCTGTGCCTTGTCAAATTCCAGCCAAAACAATCCTTTCCCCAGAGTCTCCGCCTAAGGAGCAGGGGAGAAAAATCTGATGCTAAGATGAGAGACAAGCGGGCGGAAAGTGAGTGTGGTACCTTCTGACCATACACCAGCCAGCGAAGGGGACAGTGTTGGGAAATTGTGCCAGGAGAGGTAAAAAATCCAATGCTCTCTTCGCCAGAGAGAACACAGGCAATGGCCCAGCCAAACAATCCCACCTCTGGATTCAGCCTTCCGGATGGGCAGGGCCTTGCCCCACCAAAGCTGATGTCTGGGGTGTGGTCAATGGCTTAGTGAGGGCGGCATGCGTTCAAACGAGAGATGTCCATGGGAACATTCCCATCACAAAACCCAGAGCTAGCTGGTCAGAAACTTGCCCCAGTTGAAATGTTCCCGGTAATAAATGGTCTTAGAGGTCATTGCTCAGAGGGCCAAGATGGCACAGCTGGACTTCATGAAAGCTGGGCTTCATGCAGATAGCCAGGGTCTCCGTAGCCCCAGCTGGCCTTGAACTCACAGAGATCCACCTGCCTCTGCCTCCCAAGTGCTGGGACTAAATTAGATGTGTACCACCATGCCTGGCTGAGAAAACAAATTCTTTTTAAAAAAAATATTTTATTTACTCTTTTTAGTTTATGTGTATGAGTGTATTGCCTACATGTATGTAAGTGCACTCATGTTGTGCAAAGCCTGCAGAGGCCAGAAGAGGGCGTCGGATTTCCTAGAACTGGAGTTACAGACAGTTGTTAGCTGCCATGTGGGTGCTGGGAATTAAACCCAGGTCCTCTGGAAGAGCAGCCAGTGCTCGTAACTGTTGAGCCACCTCTCCAGCCCCTGAGAAAACAAGTTCTTAATGAGATGCATGTCTTTGGGATGGCCTCCTCTTTTGGTCCACCTCTCATTTTTCTTCTCCTCGCTGGAAACAAAGCTACCCTCCGTTTCGTTGGCATTGTCCTGACTGTAATATTTAATAGCTAATCACCCATTTATCTGAAGTGCTAATAAATGCCAGTTCTAATATTAGAATGTTCTCCTCGTCCTTTGAAGAGATACTAACTCTCTAACGTTGTCACGGGCCAGGTGATGTTGGCACAAGCCAGAGTTAAATCTTTACTAATAGTCCCCTCCGAAGGCCACACCACAGTTGATTGTCTCTAGAGATCAGCAAGGTATTCCCTGTGCTCAGACTTCATTGTCAAAGTTTTGATTTATTTAACTGATGTCTAAAACAATGGAACAAGTGTAGTAATTCACAGAACAGTGAGAATAATCCAGTCAGAACCCATTGTAAAAACCTGGAGCAACATATCCCTCCACTCATCCCAGGAAAGGACTGTCAGTGATAATGGAGAGATGAGATCTCCTTTCAAGCATTAAAGACTTCAGTTTTAATTATAGAAGTGTTCCTTACAGCAAATTTCAATAATGCTTGCTCATTAAAAACAGCACGCTTCAACATTTTTGTAATATTCTGACCCAAATGGATAACCTAAATGACATTATGAGGATAGACCAAACTATCCCTGACTTAGGGTGATCTATAACATAACTGGTCTGTACTCTTCAAAACATATCAAATGATGGGCCGGTGAGAGGGCTCAGTGGGTAAAGGTGCTTGCTGCCAACCCCGACAACCGGAGTTTGATCCCTGGGACATCCCACACGGTACCAGGAGAGAATCAATTCCCGAAAGTTGTCTTCTGGCCTCCACACACATGCACACAAAATAAAAAAATGAAAAATGTCAAGATGAAGAAAGACGCAGGGAGGCTAAAGGAGCTGTTCCAGATTAACTGAGGCTAAAGACCCGTGAAAGCTCAGTGAATGCGTGACCCTGGCTCTGCCCCAGGGCCAAGAAAACAAAGGGCCAGAAAGGAATTCCTGGGAACCGAAGAGATTTGAATGTGCGTTCTACACAGCCAACGTTAGCGTCTGCTTTTCTGATTGTAACATTTAACTGCGGTTATGGATCAGAATATTTTGTTCTTAGAAAATGAGCTACTGAGGTTTTTGTTGTTTGGGGCTTTGTGTTTGTTTTGTGTGTATGTGTTCATGTGTGTTGGTGACAGACTCTGTGTTTTGGGTGCTGGGGAGATGACTCAGCAGATAAGAGCACTTGCTGCAGGAGCCTGAGGATCTGAATTCAAATCCCCAGCACCCATGGAAAAAGCCCAGTGCAGCCTTGTGCGTGCCTGTAACCCCAGCACTGTGGGACTGGGAGACGGGAGGGTTGCTGGTCACCAACCTAGTCCCAGGTTCACTGAAAGAGCTCAAGGGAATAGACAGAAGGTGAAGAAACAGGAAGCCTGGCATCCTCCTCTGGCCTCCAGGAGCACATCTGCACACACATGCATGGACACCACACACATACACAGGCATGAAACATACATCAACCACACATGTACAACACATGAAGACACTGTAATTAGTAATGCATTCTATAACTTTCTTCTCTTCTAGTTCTCTCTTTCCTTGGGGAGGACCACTGCCCTAGACTGCCCTCCATGTGACATAGAACACCATCTCATTATTTCTAACACCCGGGCTGCTGAATATTGTTCATACTGTTCCTTGTAAAGAGTGCCTAGCACAGAGAGAGAGGAGTTAAAGTCCGACCTATCTTCCATTTGCCAAGTCACGCTTTTTCCCGTGTACTGTGCTCACCTAGAGGAAAGGGTGTCTTTTCTCACTTATGTAAAGGTGGTCTCTGGCCTCGCGAAAGCTCTGTTAACAATCCCCCGACACTCCACAGTACGGATGTAGCATAAGTCACTTACACAATGCATCTTGTTAACCACTGATACTGCTGCTTCTCATGTTTTTATCCCAAACAGCCTACCACTCACATCGTCCAGTGCAGATCTCCGTATTCCTATGCACACATCTCTGGAGGAAAGATTCCAACCCTGTCCATGTTCATGGGTGCTGACAAATTAACCTCACCAAAGGTCCTATCTGGTTATGCTCCGGCAGCATGGATAAAGAAGCTGTTTATTTCCTCACCCCCCACACCAACACCAGGTGAGATCAATCTTCTAAATATTTGCCAAGCTGATAAGTGAAAAATTTTATCTTACTGTTTGATAGATCATTTGTAGCAAACCAAATATTGTTAACTTTCTGTTCTCTGAATCAAGACAATTTCTTAGGAGTACCAAGTCAGAGATTGTCTCAAACACAGCCGCCCTGAATAAATCTGTGAGCAATTGGGGAGCCAGCAGACTACACCCAACCAGTGTCCACTGACTCAGACCTATCTCTGTATGAAATGTGAGTCAGAGAGAAACACAAGGCCAGGCAGATGTTCTGAGAAGTAAGGTGTCAGCTCGGGTCTTTCAGCTTCCACTTCCCGATCACAAGTCACAAGAACAGTGTCATGGCCTCTGCTCCAGGATTGCGTGTGAAGCCACCATGGCCCCTTTGCAAAGAAGATCATGTCCCTGCAACTATTTTGATGTTGGTTTCGTGAACAAAATCAGATGGCAGAGAGAACACCAAGACCTCGGCCCTGCAGCACTGTGAGTTCGTCTCTTTCAGTAGGTGTATGTGTTGATCCAAATCCCCTGAGAGGCAGATACGGAAATGATTACAGATACAAGAATCTTATTAAAGCCCAGGCTTGTGGTAGACAACGGTGAAGGAATCAAGAGCTGCCAGACAGTGTCACAAGGCTGACCTCCAGGACAGGAGCGGAGGGAGGCTGGGTAGAAGCATCAGAGATTGCCACAGAGTCCAGGGTCAGTAAGACCTTGGGCTTCTCAAAGCAAGGCCAGTCATCAGCAAAGTCTAGTGTCTCCTACGGTCCATCCCGTGTCTTACCACACTCAGCCATTGACTGGGAGAATCCAGGGGAAAGCATGGCCTTGGTGTGAGTGCAGCAATGGACTTCCACGCATAGGAGCTGGGGTCCTTGGTCAGCTGCACTCCCTGCCCTCATCTCAGGATCCTCACCATGAGTTATCAAGGAGGAACTCTGAAGACAGGACCTGAGCAAAATTATAAACTTAGAGCACAGAGAGCTATTCAGTGTCAGTTTCCTGCTTCTATATTTCCCTGTAATGACTTATTTTAACCCAAAACCATGAAAGGCGGTCAATAATTGCATAACTTTTCTAAGTCTCAAGAATGGCTGATGAAGATTTGTAAAGTAGAAAAATACTTGAAATCCTGTCTGTATCAAACAGAAATCGGGGGCTGGGGAGATGGTCAGTGTGTAAAGTTTGGCTATACAAAGGCCTTGAGGGGCCTGAGTTCAGATTCCCAGCACCCACAGAAAAGCCAGATGTGATGGCATCTATGACTGTCACACTGGGGAGGGGACAGACAGGCAGATCCCAGGACCTACTGGCCAGCCAGCCTAGCTGAAGCTGCAAGCTTCAGGTTTAGTGAGAGACCCTGTCTCAAAACTATGGTGGAGAGCAATAGAGGAGGTCACCTTGACAACCAATCTTTGACCTCCACTCACACATCCATGGACACACGCATGTGCACATGCTCACACACACAGTTCTTTTTTATTTTATTTATTATTTTTATGTGTATGAGTGTATTCCCTGCATGTATGTAAGTGCACTCATGTTGTGCAGTGCCCATGGAGGTCAGAAGAAGGCATCAGATCCCCTGGAACTGGAGTTATGGATGGCTGTTAGCCACCATGTTGGTACTGAGAATCAAACCCAGGTCCTCTGCAAGAATAGCCAGTGCACTTAAACCACTAAGCCATCTCTCCAGTATTTCTTTCTTTCTTTCTTTCTTTCTTTCTTTCTTTCTTTCTTTCTTTTTCTTTCTTTCTTTCTTTCTTTCTTTCTCTTTCTTTCCATGTATGAGTGTATTGCCTGCATGTGTGTAAGTGCACCTATGTTGTGCAATGCCCTTAGAGGTCAGAAGAAGGTGTCAGATTCCCTTGGAACCAGAGTTATGGACAGTTGTTAGCCACCATGTGGGTGCTGGGAATATGAACCTGGGTTCTCTGCAAGAACAACCAGTACGCTTAACCATTAAGCCATATCTCTAGCCCCAAGTCTCACAAATTCTTTTTTTTATTATTTTTATTTTATTTGTGTGTATTGCCTGCATGTAGGTAAGTACGCCCGTGTCAATGCCCACAGAGGACAGAAGAGATTTTTGGATCCCCTGGGGCTGGAGTTACGGACAGTTGTTAGCTGCCATGTGGGTGGTGGGATCTGAACCCGGGTCTTCTGCAAGAACAGTCAGTGTTCTTAACTGCTGTACTATCTCTCCAGCCCCCCACCCCAAGTCCCACAAATTCTTAAAGAAACAAAAATGAAAAGGATTCAGGTCATGGAAATATGTAGGATTTGGGTCATAAGAACAATGAAAAGGAAAGGGAAGGGAACAGAGAGGAAACTGAGAAATGGTCAGAGGCAGGTGGCCATGGAGAAATTCCCACTGGGTGGAGAATGGGATGAAGGAAGACAGGGTCTGGTCGCAGAACAGAAACAGAGCCATTTTTTCATGAAGCATCAGCAATGAGATTCTAACATACAATATCCTCTGCAGATCGCCAGCACATATTTGATATATGTACTAAATTGTATGTGTGTGTGTGTGTGTGTGTGTGTGCGTGTGTGTGTGTGTGTGTTGGGTGTGGGGAGATTTAAACACTAACATCTCCCTACATATATGAGAGCTATAATGATTGTGTTCCACCTATTTGGTTTCCAAGGACATCATGTTTTATTGAGTTCTAAAGAACAAACCAAATTGTCTGGTTGAATTCAAGTTTGTTTTTACCAAATATCCTTTTAAAAACTAACAAGCCAGAATTTGGAACCACCTACTGCTTGGCAAACACTATCACAGTTGTTCAGTTTGTATATCTGTGCTGGTCAGACTTTGTCTTACCATTTAGACTATAAACTCCTTAGAAACATCTTCCAGAGTATAAATATTTTCTAGTATCACTATATTTCTCACAGCATGATCATTATTTGATTGTGTGTATGAAGTTTGAATTCCATAAATATGCACACAAAAGTAAAATAGGAGGGGGCCGGAGAGATGGCTCCATGGCCTCTGGCTTCCACTGGCACATGCACTCATGTGTATATACACACAGACACAAAAATTAAATAAATTTAAAATGTAAACTGTTTTATACATCAATCTGTTTCTATCACCTCTTTGCCCTTTAATATCATTGATCAATCACTAACCAATCACTAACCTTCTTCTTACCTTCCTTGTTACGAACTTCTTGACCCTCCTTCCTGCCTCTTCAATCATTCTAATTATCTCTGGCTTTCCACTGTCTCTCAGTTTGGGATATCACACATGGCTCTTTCTAGAAGCTTCCATCTCATGGCTTTCACTATCACTCTAACCTAATGATCCTATTTATATCCCCAAATCCCACTTAGCTCCTGGCCCTCCAACTTCCTCTCGGACATCTTCTCTGAAACTGTCTGCCTTCCTAGCTAATTCCATCTGGTCCAGCACATTCTTTCCCTGTTGCTGGTCACATTCCTGTTTACCAACAGCACTGCACTGTCTTCATTCACCAGAAGGTAACTTTGGTATCTGGATTCCTGTTCATCCCTGTTCCCACATCTAACTTCTCAATGAGTAAAAGTGCTTGCCATAGAAGTATGGAGTCCACATGTGTTCCCAGCACCCACATAAAAACAGGATGTGGCTGTGGTCACCTGTAGCCCCAGCATGGGAGTGAGGGACATGGTTGAGACAAGAGCATTCCTGGGACATGCTGACTACCAGCCTACCTGAAAAACAGAGTGCTTTGGGCTCAAGAGACTCTATGTAAGGAGAATAGGTCAGAGAGCATGAGGGGAGGACACCCAACAACTTCCTCTGGCCTGTGCACATTCATAGGTGTGTGCGCCCACCCCACATGCACACATGTGCATGAATAACACACACATCACTCACACACACACACACACACACACACACACACACACACACACACAGAGGCAAAGTACAACGTAAAAAAAATCTCTCCCATTTCCCCAAGAAATTAACCTATTCAAATGGAATTTATTGACCATTTATTGAGAACCTGCTATGTAGTAGTTCTTGGGTTAAGCTCCCTAGGGATCACAAAAATGATGAATGTGAAATCCACATGAATAAACTCTGAATTTTGGGAGATGAAGTGTTAGCTAAACTGTCCAATTCCATTTGTGTGAGAAATTAATGGAAACTTCGGTGGTGGAGTGTGAGAAAGTTAAGAATATGAGAGACAGATTGTAGATAGATAGATGATAGATAATGATAGATGATAGATATGTTGATAGATGATAGAAGATGATAGATGATAGATGATAGATAGATAGATAGATAGATAGATGATAGATAGATAGATAGATGATAGATGATATAGATTAGATACATACATGATAGATAGATAGATAGATAGATAGATAGATAGATAGATAGATAGATAGATAGATAGATAGATAGATAGATAGATAGATAGATAGATAGATAGATAGATAGATAGATAGATAGATAGATAGATAGATAGATAGATAGATAGATAGATAGATAGATAGATAGATAGATAGATAGATAGATAGATAGATAGATAGATAGATAGATAGATAGATAGATAGATAGATAGATAGATAGATAGATAGATAGATAGATAGATAGATAGATAGATAGATAGATAGATAGATAGATAGATAGATAGATAGATAGATAGATAGATAGAATGTGAATAAAAATGAAGGCCCTCATAGAATGATCAGTGACACCATGACACGGGGACAGCCACCTGCAGTCATTTGGCCACAGACTGAATGAGTGAATTCTTTTACATGTGTATGTGTTGTATGAACATTACATGCATCATGACCCCTACCACAGAGCACTAGTTCTCATGACCTCAGGTAGCCAGACTTGACCACCTCCAAGTGAGAAAGGGCTACATGGGTGAACCCCACCGAGACACCTGCAGTGAAGCGGACCTGGCTGCCTTGTCGGGTGGCCCTTCTCTCACACACACATCTCTCTTAGAAATGTCTTCCCTTCGAGCCCTTGAAAATCCATCTCTCAGCACCGTCACTCACTGGCTCCAGTCTACCTCTTTACGGTCTTCATAAACAAACCTAATCACTCTGTATTAGTTACTTTTCTTGCTGTGACCATTAATTCCTGACAAGAAGCAACGTGAGACAGGAAAGCTTGTTGCTGCTACTGCTGCTGCTGTTGATGTTTGGAATTCAAGGGGATACAGTCCAAGATGGCAAGGAAGGTGCAGTGTCAGGACCACATAGGTGAAGCAGCTGGCTACCCTGCATCAGTAATTAGGAGTGAGGGCACAGACAGGAGGTATGGCTAGCCACAAACTCTCAAGGCCCTCCCCCACCGACTCACCTCCTCCAGTGAGGCCCCACCTCCTAAAGGTTTCACAACCTTCCAAACAGTGCCAGCAGCCGGGAACTAAGCATTCAAACGTGAGCTTGTGGGGGAAATTTCACGTTCAAACCATGACACTTTCACAAGGCAAATGCTGTATTTGAAGACAGATACATCTTCCCACCACACCTTCAACGGCACTTAAGTGGACTCCCATTTCCGTGCCTTTTCTAATCTATCTGCCCTGTTTTGAACACACTGCTCTTTGTCAATTTCTCTGTTAAAATATAGCATCCAGAGGGGCTAGAGAGGTTAACAGTACTTGCTACTCTTCCAGAGGACCAGAGTCAAGCTCCCAGAACCCACAACTGCCTGTAATTCCAGTGCCAGAGGATCTGACACCCTCTTCTGGACCCTGATGGCACCTGCATGCTTGTGCACTTGTGCACATACCCACACTCAGACACATAAGTAAAATTATATATATACCTATACATATACATGTATATATAGTCACATATGTATATGTATATTCCAGGTCTGGTGGGGTGGCGCGGCAGGTAAAGGTGCTTGCTGCCCAATGATGAGACAACATCAGTTCGATAAAGGTAGGAGAGAACTAACTCCATGAAGTTATCTTCTGACCTCCATACACATCCCATGGCATATCCCCCCCGACAGATCATACACAAACACACACAATAATATATGTATACATATGTGTATGCATATATATATATACATATATAGCAACTGTACAACACATCCCACTTAAATACTAGCACTATGAAATAAGACAGGACACCTTAATTCTAAATATGAAACACTGTTGATGCTTCCTAAAAGAAAATTACAATCATTTGCATGTTTTAGATTGAGTCATATGTACTTGTCATATAGTAAGAGACTGATACATGTTCCTGTTAACATTCAAACATGAAAACAGTAAGCTTTCTAAGTATGCTCTCCACAGTTTGTCTGAAGCATTGATTTCAACTTTAAAAAGTTCAAAGCCAGGCTGGAGAGACAGCCCAGCAGTTAAGAGCACTGGCTGCTCTTGCAGGGGACCTGGGTTTGATTCCCAGCACCCACATGACAGCTAAAAACCATCTGTAACTCCAGTTCCAGGGGATCAGATGCTGTCTTCTGACCTCCACGGGCATTGCAGGACACAAGTGCACTTACATATATGCAGACAATGCACTCATACACATAAAATAATTTTTTTAAAAAAAGTTCAAAGCCAACTATGACCGGACACAGAGTCTCTGACGTGTTTATACAACCCTCTCTCAGAGTGATGTCAATCCTGTCTGAGGTACAGACATTCAACCAGCCCGAATGGTTGTCTTTAGGAAACCAAGCTTGCCTCCGCTTCCCTCAGCTCTGGACTGCGGGTCTCTCAGAACACAAACACCACTGGTTGGGTTTGCTTTCCTTATTTCTGTGGCTCCTCCAAGTCCCACAGTCCTGCCCCATCCTCCTCCATTCAGCTCGGCTCTAACCATGTGTCTGGGCACTACCATGGTCTCGCTCTTGCTTATTTGTTTGTGCTTTCCATCATGTCCCATCGTCTTCTAGGGACCCTTGGCAGTGTCACCAGATACAAGTGCCTTGGTGAGCACAGCTCTGTCACCTCTGGGTGGAATACCAGCTACCTCTGCCAGGCCCACCGCCACCTTCCGTGATGATCCCCTAAAGCACCAGTCCCTTTCCTGCTAACATGTAGCATTATCACGTAGATTCAAACAGAGAGAGCAGGCTGTGGTTTGTGGCAGACTGGAAGAGAACAACTTTTTTACACTTTGGAGTTACAGCCTCTCAGAAGTACTTGCTGCTTGAGCCCAGATATTGTCATAAATGCTGGTGAATGCTGTGGTTTGAATGTGTCCTTTCCAGAGTATTAAAAGGCAATGGCTGAGGTGACAGTATTAAAAGGTAGGGCTTTAAGAGGTGATTGGAGGGGCTGGAGAGATGGCTCAGGGGCTAAGAGCACAGCTGCTCTTGCAGAGGACCTGGGTTCAGTTCCCAGCATCCACATGGCAGTTAACAACCATCCATAACTCCAGTTCTGGGGGGTCCGGCACCCTCTTCTGACCTCTGCAGAAATTGCAGGACATGGGTTCATTTACATACATGCAGGCAATATACCCATACACATAAAATAAAATAAAGTAAAATAAAATAAAAAGAGGTGATTGGGACATGAAGACATTTCCCTTGTGAATATTACAGCCCTTGTTTTTTTTTTTCAAAAGAAGGTTCACACACATTTGCTACGTAGTCCTCCTGCTTTCCACCCCATAAGAGGTTCCTTGCCTCTAGAAGAACAGTAACACAGTGCCATCTTGGAAGCAGAGAGCAGTTCCCAATAGACAAACACATCTGTTAGAGCCTTGGTCTTAGGCTTCCCATCCTTTACAACTATGGGAGAGAACACAGTTCTACTCAGTGTTGGGCATTTTCTTACAACAGTACAAACAGACTGATACACTGATTTTTCCCCAGTCTTTTCAACGTACATATATAACATCTCTCTCTGGACTCAGACATGAGCTTCTAGGCTAACTCAGGAATTGGGTCAGACTTGTTCTTTCTCTCCAAACATAAGATTCTGTTGTCTTTTGAAGAAACAACTAGTTTCTCCTTTTTTGATGAATTCTCTCTAAAAAAAAAAAAAAGTCTCAGTCTATTTCTAGCATAGATTGGACCACAGAATACTGAGCCTTAAATGTACTCTCAACCTATGACCTCTGTATCTCTCTGTCTCTGTCTCTTGTGTGTGTCTGTCTCTCTGCCTCTCTCCTTTCTATGTTTCTGTGTGTTCTGTGAAACACCTCACCTCTATTATTTTGTTTCCATTATTATGCGAGTCTTTATACAGATGCAACCACTAAATCTCTGTTTTATGAATGAGGACACCAAGGTTCAACACCACATATAACTTCAAGGTTATGTAACAGGATCCTGACAGATCTGTGACCCAGACCATCTTCTCCTGCCTTGTGAGTCTCCGTCCCTCCCTCCAGGCCTTCCTTCTCCATCATATCCCCAAGTATCAATAATAAGTCATCTTACCCATGACATCAGGGGCCACACACATCCCCACTAACCAAATTCCCTGTAACAGACAAACCAGAGATTCTTTCCACACAGCTTGGTCTCTGTGAATGCACCTGGCTTGACCGATATGACTTTCCTTCTTAGGAACATCTTAAGGACAGATTGACTGCACCTCAGTGTCTATAACCTAAAGTCCTTTCATTTCACGTTAGGTGAGCGCTTGTTCAGATGCAGCCTGCGGCCATTTCTCGCCATTTCCGGGTCCTCAGAGCACACATGCTATAGTGGCTCAGTCCCCGAGATCTTCCAAAACCAGGAATCTAGTTTTTCTTAGCAGTAAGTTCTTTCTCTATTTACGTTTCTTAAAAGACTCTAATTCCCACTTTCAAGTTATAGAAATAAAATACTTGTTAGTTACCTACAGTCTGTGTAGTGCTGGGTGAGAAACACAGAAGCCAGATACCACAGTCCCTGGTCTTAAAGAGCCCACAGCCTAGGGGAGGGACACACCCTTACAACTTAGTAATAATGTGATGGAGACAGGAGCACACTGATGGCCACGAGAGCATCCTAAGAAGATCTGAGGGTTAATTACAGCCTGAGGAGTTGAGGTGACTAAACACAGGTAACATCTACGCGGTCCATCTAAAAGGGCAACTACGAATTCCCCAAAGTAAAATTTTAAATGGAGAAAGGACAGAAGGAACAGCAGTTGCTGCCATTTTTAGCATCAATCATTTTCCTACCACTGATAACAGATTCTTCCAGTCAGGAGCTTTGATGGATTTTCTCCACTGTCCTATTTATTCCAAATTCCTCAGCCTAACCTTCGAGACATCTGCTAGCTCCATTCCCTGATTTGCTTAGCCAGTGAGCCGGATTTATCAGCTGAGTGTGTGCTTTTCCTAGGCACTAAAATAAATAAATGTAGGAACAAAACCAGGATGCGTTCACTTCAAACTTTCTCTTAACTCACATCTCTATGACACTTACCTGGGAGAAGAGGGGGTTAGACAATGAAAACAAGAAAGCCTAAGCAAGTGAGGAAGGTCTGTGTAGGTTTATTCTATATAAAGGGTGAGACAAAAATAATATACACATCATCTTAAAATGTCTATGGTCAGAGTTTAGTCAACTAATTTAAGGAACAAAATAGAAATCTAGTCAATGTTTATCTGAGAATATTTGGTTCTTTACCTAAGCCTTCTCTACATAGCACATGATAATTAAAAGTATCAGACTGGTGGAACTAATCTGATTGGGTGTTAAACAGCCATACTTTAAGGTCTATACTAATGTGGTCAGAGGGACTTAAAGGACAGTTTTTGCCCCTTGCCCTCCAAGGTTGACCAAGTTCCAGGGGACTATGGAACATCTCTCAAAATGTCCTGTAAATGTGGTGAGTCAT